ATCTATATATAAAATGTGGTGATTTAACATATTATGATACTCTTACTGTTATACATAAGCAGATGATATGTGAGTTAAGGAAAATGTACTGCTTAATTATGTCTTAACATAAATTTATATCTATTTTTCTGTTAATATAAACTCCAACTTCTTATTTTTGTCATGCACTGTATTGGAGTAACAAATTTCATTTTTAACTGCAGTAATATGTACATTTTGAAATCTTCACCAAATAAAAATTTATCATTAAATATAGAATTGAAAACAGTGAGAAAAAGTGTAGTAGTTAATATGTGTGCAAATTGTATTATTAGAAAATGTTTATATGCATTTAAACGAATACTACTAAAAATCAGAAAAACTACAATTCTTAAAAATTTTAATCTTAATTTTATTACAAACTAACTGCTACTAAAAGTATAAAGTATTATTTAATTTTACTTTTCTATATTGGTAAACTTTATCATAATTATCCCTTTTATTCAATTTGGTATGTACAGTGTAAAGAGAATTTTGTAAATATAGGAATTTTCATATATATTAGCATAGTTTTGCAAGCATTTGAACAATTTGTTATAAAGCAAAGTGAATTGTACCAAGCATTTTCGAAATAGGAATATCACTGCCTCATTTATAAATAATTTATGCGTCGCCATTGCATGTCATTATTTAATTTGATGTAATCAGAAAATAGAAATTATTTATACAATGAATTAATGAAAAAAGAAACGATTTTACTAGTTGTCATTTTATCTTATACTGATTGCCATTATATTGATTTTGAGAGTATCTTTTTTGTACATATATGCGTGTATAATATCATATGTATATACTGTGTAGATGTTATTATGATAAGATGATGTACTATAAGTTAAAAATATACCAATATGTTATATCATATTAAATCTACTTCAAAATTCTTTAGCAGGTATAAGATGATGATGCACATAGATAATGATTAGTACTCCTCAAAGTGCAGAAATTAAATACTACAGATAATAGGTAAAAGTATCTTTATTCAGTTGTTTTACATCAATTGTATGTATATCTTTACAAAAATATTTAATTATGACACAAAATATTGGAATAAAATTATTGATACAGTGTTATTTTTTGTAAATATTTTCAATTATACATAACTTATAATGTAGGTTAATAATTTAATACTTTTACACAATAATTTGCAGACAATGCGACCGATTGAAGTCTATATGCATAAATATATCATCATGTTAAAGCAAATGCTGTTTTTATTTATTATCGTTTTCTTTTGTACTCCCAACATCACGATGATTTGTGTTAAAAAAATGTACATATATTATATTTTACATATTATAGTAAAATATAAATTCGTTCTTTTATAAATATTAATAAAGCTTTTGTATTATGATAGCAAAAATTACGATTAAAACTGCAATACTGAAACTTACAACGTATATTTTTGTTTGATAGTTTCCAGATGAATCTATATTAAGATCAACAGTTTTCACATCAATTTTATTTTGAGAATAGAATTCTGTAGGATCTGTTAAAAAAAAATTTTATGTTAGTACACATACATATATATAAATACATATAATCTTTCAATCAAGCATGTAATACTTACCAGCTTCAAATTCAATGTCTTTTTGAACATTACTTTCCTGAACCTCTAAGTCTAGGAGTTCTTGCAACGATAAAAGAGCTTCTTGAGGTCCCTCACCAGGAAATAGGTAGTCTGACAATGTTACTTTACTTTCAGGCAATGCTATTAATACTCTTCTTGGAGGTTCGTGTAACGTTATATTTTCTGAGAAAGTAATGAAATGAACAATTTTGTATAACTATTTAATTTCTTATATGGTGAAATAGATACCTTCTGGAGATCCATTTTCTTCTTCAATCAAACTATCCCAATGCATTTCTAATCTACTTGCTAATGACCTTATTATGTCTTGCTTTATTGCAGCATTAGCTTCTTCGACATTTGCTTTTTGATGGACGAAAGTTCTACTTACTAATTGTCCAATCAAACGTATAGATGCATTGCATGGTGTTATCCTCACATCTGAGTTAAGATTCTTTTCATGCTAATAATTCACAAGATAAACTGTTATATTTATTTATATTACTATATATTATTAAAGACAAGTACTTACACATGGAATATATAAATTAATTTGAATTGATCGGTCATTATTATTTTTTTCATTATTTCTACAATTTCTTTCATCTTTCTTGTTTTTACTAATTAGCTCTAATCTATCATCTGGGGATCGAACTTCTCCTTCAATTACAATAAGGGAAGATTCAATGATATCTGACACACTCTTTAAAATATCTTGTAGTTGTTTTTTAAGAGTTTCTGGATCTTTATTAGCAGCAATGAGAAATAGACGATCAAAATCAATAAGTGCCTCAAGTTGATGCCAGTTGGTTGCTTTAGCTTGAAATTTCCAATCTACTGGTTTTAATATTTCATTACGGATTTCTATAGATTTACAAGTGTATCTAAAAAAAATAATAGAAAGTTAAATAATGATGAAAAGTAATTGTTAAATATATTACAATATATCATACTTTTGTGTAACACTATTTAAATATAAGATAAGATGTTCTTCATTATTATCCCCACATAAATATTTATTACATGATAAATTTTTTTGCATTGTTGTAAGGACAGATTTTAGTTTTTGTACATTATTATTATTATGTGAAATATCCTCTGGACCAACAATAAACGTTCCAAGGACACGCATTCCACCAGGTAACATTCTAGTAACCTGTAAACAACAATATTAAAGATCCTTTCTTTTTATGATTCTATATTTTAATTACATTTATTTGATATATTTAAAATGAAAAAAATACATACATGTTTAGCATGATCTGCAACCCAACTCTCTGGTATATCTTTTACTGCTTTAATGTGGTTTTCAGTAGCAGTATTTTGTTCAGATTTTGTTGTGGAACTAAGCAATGTTTCTTCCACTACGTTTTTACCAAGGGGTGGTGGTGTCTTTGCTAAGTGCACAATATAATCTTTTTGACCAGCACTCTGTAATATCAATCATAATTTATGTTGGATGATATAAAATGAAATCATTGAAACTTTAACAATATTCCAACCTTTCATCTAAAGCAACAATTCTAAAATGAACATAAGTTAAATAAAATTGTATGTATTTCGACAAAAATTCTATAAAAATGTACCATTTATATTTATTGAAATGATTTAAGAGTGTCTGTTAAGAAGTACATATGTCAGGACAAGTGACAAGAGCAGAGATGACGTGAAATTGGAACATACAAAAATCGAACCTGTCCCACAATTAGTCCTATCGTGTATTCATCTGGTTTTGCTAGTGACGTCAAATAATTATGAAGACGTTGTTCTGCATATACAGTTCGGCCCATTGCTTTTGATGTTTCTGTAAACACGTAAATTGTATCACAGCCTACTATGTTAACGTTACCAGTGTTATCACTAGTTGTACAGCGTACAAACCATTGACTAAGAATAGGATAGACTATGCATGCAATTCAAAAGAGTGTTCCACAGGCCCTGGTTCGAGCTACACAAGCTACGTAGCCTCTCATGGCATTTTATTATCACATGCGACATTATCGGTTCAGTATAGAATAAGATACCAACGCTACTGAAATGGTAAGAATTATAATTAATGATATTATAGGGTGGAGAGGTAGGAGAAGAAGAGGAAAATGAATTATTTGTTAATAAACCAATGTTGGAATATACAAGAGTACTGTTAAGATTCTCTGATAATGAGGATTCGGTAGAATGGCTAATGATTGAACGGTAGATAAATTGCGAAGGACAAATTGAGGAAAATCTAAGGAAAATTTTCCGAGAAATAAAATTGGAAAATAAATGTGCTCAGCCGTTGAAAGAAAATAAAGATTTGATATTTTCGTTTCATCTTCACAATCTTCCTCCTGTTTTTTTGTCATTATTTCACTGGATGCCAAATGAGAGGTGTCGTCTGTATTTAATATAATTTGAAATGTTCATCTTAATATAATCCTCTTAACTTTAACAATATCAAAATTCATAGAATTAATAAATTTGCACCAGTAACGAAAGTAAGATGGATAAAAAGCATGGTTAGTTACGGGGTTACACAATTTAGCCGTTACGTGTTCATGTCTTTACATCTTATCAATAGTCAATTGTTTTTTCTATTTTTATTGTTTTTGTAAATGAACATGCATGTAAAACATATACCAGAGATACATATGTTTTATCAAAAATATTATTCACTGTTCGTCGATCTATTATTAAAACATTGATATTTAGGTTTTACCATAACAAAAACATTATCCCGAAAAAAGTAAATTTAATGTTTAAATCTACACATTATCGTGTGTAAAAAATATATTAAAGTCACTGCACCATTCCACTGATCCGTTATCGTTTGAAAGTGAATATTTTCTTTTTTCTCTAAAAAAATATAGTAAACTATTTATTTCTCCTTCTTAGGCAACTTACCATTAATTTCATTATTGCGCGATTTTGTCATTCTCATACTTGTCTAGCTCGGATAGAGAAGTAGATATGAAGTTTTTCATAGAACTGTACAATTAAATAGGTTCTTGTTTATGCTAGTGTCCAACTAAACAGAGTAGATCCCTAACTTAAAACTTAAATATATAGGTTCTTATGTATGCTAAATTGCAATCAAACAAGGCAGATCCCTAATTTTATAGGTTCTTGTATATGCTAATGCTCGTTCCTTTTAATACTTGGCTGCATGGTGCAGCACCTGTACTGTGAAATAACTAGAACTACGTGCGTAAACACTCATTTCATCTCTGACTATATATATCGCAAATATCCGCGATAATGCGAAGAAAGTCCAAGATTGATAATTGCTTTTCTTAAACATCTAGGACAAATATTAAACAATTAATAAATTATTCTATTTTTTAATAGTTATATTTCTATATTTAGAAATGTAACTCTCGTTGTCAGGATGCATGCGTTCATGAACAATAGGGCATGACAGCATGAATACGCTTTATTAAATAAATTATATACAGGTTCTCTCACATACAGACATTGTCGCATTATCAAAATGCTACATACTTACTAAATAAAATATAAATTATAATACGAAAAGATCTTCGACTACAATAACATTGACTTTAGAGGCCTTTACTGCTGAATCAACATGTCTAATCCCAAATACTCTCGTTCTTTCACATATTGAGGCTTGCAATTATATCTTATTATCATAAGTAAATAATTTTTTTAAATATAATCTTGCTGATTCTGTTGTCATAAAAAAAATTTTGTTTAAAGAAATTTTATGAAATTTTGATTTCATTGCAAAGCCCGAGTAAGAGAGTATCATCATTCTTTATGCAAGTGCCAAAAAGATATAAAAAAGGCTAACGTATGTATCAAATGCGAAATCTGAAAATGATTTCATGTTCCTCTTTCGTACCAATTCCTTCTTCTTTGTTGTGTCCCCCATCCAGGACTCTTTCATATATCTGGTTTATAATAATAGATATTATTAGAATTATCACAGTCTGTGTATTTACAGTTTAAACGTTAACGTAATATCCTTCTTAAATTAATTTAGCAGCGTTCTTTTTTCGTGTGATGTTGTTTTGAAAAGAACCTTAGGGGAATTAGCTCTATCGTTGTGCATGGACGGCAGAGCATTACGGAAGAGAAAAAATATCTTCAATTTGTATAAGATAAAAAGAGAAATAGGGAAAGAATACTTCAAAGGCATGCATATCGGAACTAATGTTTCTATAGCTACTGGATAAATCTGCGTATCGTATGAAATAATATCAATAACTTAATTATTAATTACATCTTAAAGTTGGACATGTCTTATTTGTATCTTGTATTTACACCTTAAATATTTATACAACGTTACGCGATAAAAATCTGAAACGTTTTTCTGTACTTCTTCTTTTTTATCAAACATTTTCCGTTTTGTTTTCTATATATTTGGACGTTAACAAATTATCCATTTTTTTTAAATTCCTCAATCATTGAAGATCATTCAAACGCCCAACAGAGTAATATATTCTATTTAACTTATACGGCAGAGACATACAATTAATAAAAATAGAAGAGATACGATAACTTTCTGAAAATTATACAAGTAACGAACTGAGGGAATCATAAATTATCACAACTATGACTCACTCATGCTCATTTAACTCTCCATAAAACTTTCATCAAGAAAAAAAGATATCAATATCTCACGAGTCCAAAGATGATAATTCTGTTCAGAAATTTCATTTTCTTGTACTTGTAATATCTCCGTTCTTCCTACTGTTTTCCATATGAATTAATGCCCTGCCTATCTTTCTCAGATTTCTTCCTTAAAAGAAATTTGTAATGATCTTATTCAAGGACTTCCCTCTCATCAAACTTCGATTCAATTCACAGGAATTAAAGACTCCAAATAAACTATTCTCCAACCAAAATGTACAACTTTCTCAAGCAGTTGGATAAACAAATGACAATCATTCCGTTTTATCGTATTCTGCACGCTGTACATTTTAAACATTTTAGAATACCAAGTATTCTATCGTGCGAATCCAAGAAAATCTGTGAGTCTATCGTTCCAATCGTGAAGCCAGTGAGTGGGTCCATGGCTCGGTTGCCTCTGTTTGCAGGGATTGATCTCTGACTCCAAGGGCATGTATTCTTCGCCCCTGATGCAGAAATAACTCTTTATCGGGCTTCTACACATTGGACACCGATCTAGTTTGCCAAAGCAGGATGCGCAGATACAAGTATGTCTGCAAGGCAACAGAGCACGCGAAAGAGGAAAGTATTGGCAAACGACGCAGAGTTGTTCTCCGGCAGTGTTCCATAACGATCCCTCGGGATCGCCGGTCCCGGAGGCAACCAATGCGCCTCTAGTCGAGCTACCGTTGTTGTTACAAGGTTCTGCGAGGGCTAGAGCTGAGCCTAGACCCGAAGACACGTCTCCTTCATCATAGTTCGTCGAGTTACCGGTAGCTAGGTATAGTTGCTGCAACAGAAATAGTTTTATCAGTACAGAATTTAATTTGTGCTTGAGATAGAAATATGGTGTGTCTCATAAAACTATGAAACCACCGTAAAATCTTCAATCTTTATATAGGTATCAGATACCAGATACAATACAAGAAAATGATTAAAAAATTGATTAGTTAGTGATAAGTTATCGTTACAATTTTATTTTATTATATTCTAAACTCAACTTTTGTGCAATAAAATGTTCTGTTATACTTATATACACTGTTATAGAACAAGTATAAACTAGTTCTTTGAAGAAAATTATTTCTTATCACGTTAACATATAAAAGTATATAATGCAATATATAAAACTTGGAAGTTTTCGAGTGGTTTTCCTGATGTTGAATTTGAATATAGAGACTTACCTTAAGACAAGACAACTGGCCATTTGCCTGTTTTAGATATTGCGCCAAGATCGAGGTTGGTAAAGTGCACACGCTGTCTTTGATGTGGACAACGTTTACCAGAGCCACCTTGCAAGGAAAACAAAACCGAATAAGCTAATGCAGTTGTAGTATTTGTATTTAAATGTCCGTTTGGTTTAATAGAAAACCGAGTTTAATTAATGGCAATAAGATTGTAATCGAGTCACGCAACGCTTGTTATATTTCGACAATATACATTAAAGTAGTTGCTCCTTTGCATTTCATTTTCAGTTATACGTTATTTTCCGCATTACAATTATCATTGTATTTACAGAATTTAAATCGTTTCACAAAAGTTCTACGATAAATTAGCAATTGAGATGACCGATGCTTTTGTAAAAACTCAAAAGATACCCACGGTCTCGTCTGGATGAGGATCTCCATTATCCCTGCGAGTTAAGAAGATTACTAAAGGATAACAAAGTCTAGGTGGTGTCCCAAGTTCTAATTCTGGTGCCGGAAGCGACAATCTCAATGTTTCTTCCCCGTGTGGTTGTCTACTGTATTTCTCAATCAAGGAATTATCAGTGGTACCATTAACGGTAATGTTAATTACGATACAAATGTTTACAAATTACAAAAGATAATTAAAAAAAAAAAAGAATAAGAATTAAAATTATTTTATAAAAGGATACGTTTGTAGTGGTGTGAGATACTGCGCGTGACCTTGGAGAAGAGTGCTGTTCAAGGACGCGTCTCTAAGGGTGCTCCAAGGTTTCCAAAGCGCCAAGTGAAGTTCCCTTATACTGACGCCCCAAAGCGCCTGCAGAGAGTACTCGACTTGACTTGATATTTCGCATTCTACCTCTGTAACAAGAAAGTAAGAGGACATTTTAGTATTATACCTATATACAGGGTGATGTATCAATAATGTTACAAGATTTACAACTTGTTCATATAAAAGATATATTCTTATAAATAAAAAGATATTTACAGATCATTTGTTACTGTTACAGCGTGGAATCCTACCTTTTACTGACTAAATTTATAGTTCTATTGCTTTTAAATTTTCTCCTCGAGCATATCATCGTTAATTCGCGCAAATGATTATTATACGAGTAATACATTCATTACATTCTACGGTTACTAGATAATCATGGAAGATCATGGAAAATCATAAGCTAGTGGAATGACTATATAACTACTGAACGTTCGTTTTATTGTAACATAATAAGAGCTGAGAGTAACTTAAGAAAAGAGTTTCGCAGCGATATGTTAACCGTATTATTTCACATCGTGACGTTACTCAAAATGATTATGTAACAAGCCTACTTTCAACCTTTTTTTTCCCTCTCGTCTGGTTCCAAGATATCTCGGCCAACGGGGTTTCCAGGTCATGCGTGAGAGGACAAACCACAACGTACTTCCTGCAGGTCTAATTCTCGCGAATGCTCATTGTTCTCTGTGAAGGAGTACCTAGGAACCCTACTCGTTTCGTGGTTATTAGAGTACCATTTACGATCTCTGGTTCTACTATCTAGATCTCTTGTGTTTCAATATAATAATTGGCTGGCAGCTGCGTCATATCAGCCTTTCAAAGGCTGTACTAATCAACTGCATAAATTGAAAAATGGAGGAAAGTGATGTGAAGTTACGAGCGTTATCTTGGAATTCTTTATGCCATCTTCTTGCTTGTCGAGAAACTGATTGAAGAAAATCAAATCGAGAAAATTAATTCGAGACGATGACGAAACTATTTCGAAGCTTTAATCTTTTATCAATTAAATTTAGATTTAAAAGCGTACGAAAGTCGAGGCGTATAACATTCGAAACGCAACTATTTACAATAATTACACTGCTTATACGCGATATGGGATACGTTGAACTTTGCGAAGTGATAATGTGTATAACTATTCCTCGAATGAGTCATCGTACCACGTATCTCGAGAACGGCCTTTCTAAACTCTTTGACGTCAACTATAATTCTGAGCTCTAACAGGTAATATGTGTAGTATATCCATAAACCTTTCCGTCAACCTTGTCACACTTATCCATGCTAATAAAACGACAAGTAGATCTGTTTACCAAGCGAATTAACGAATCGTTGTGTTCGAGAAGAGAAAGAAATAATTGCAGGCGACGTTTCGTGGCGGAAAACGACGCAGGAAGCGGAGGATCATGACCTGAATCTCGTAATCTCGGGTCTTGGACCTCGAGTCACTTCTCAATTCGAGGTTCAAACAGGCAGACTAGCCAAAAATCCTCGTCGTTCGCGGAGAGGCTACCATCAAGGGGAGATTGTTTGGAGATCACGCGGGGCTGGTGTGAACGAAAGTGAAAGCTGTCAAGATGGATCGTCTAACGTGGTAGACTCCGACACAGACGAAGTATCAAATCGGCCATTCTACGAAGCCACGAAATAGTAGAACACAGAGTTCTTTTTTAGTCGCGCTTTGATCGAGTCTACGCGAGGTCTTGCAACAGAGTTCATCTTGAGACGATCAGTGATCCACAAACCGACGATCTGAAGGTTCAGATTAGTCGAGTTACCTGCATTTAAACTTGTGTTCATACGGGTACAAAGCATAGCAGAGCCATTCGTGTTAGCAGACAGTAAATATAAAAATAAAACTTTTACATCAACGCAACAATTCTAATGCAACTTGGATGCGCCGCAAGGTTCAGCTTATATTCTCATATATTTTTTTCTCCTATTGCCAGGTGATATGGCAAATGCAAAATTGCACAATTTCGAGTTAAAGCATGGCTGGTCAAGCATAACTGGAGTGGTTGGCAAAGACTTAACACGTAGGCTGTGATAATGAGCTGCGCGATGTGGGTCAAACTTCATGAATGATATCCTAGAAGTTCTGAAGGGAACACGAGTCTGACTTTTGCAAGGTAGACTAGTATACCTGAAACGTTCGAAACTCTAGAATATTCTGTATAATCTGATATTAATCTGAATACTGAATGTTACAGTCTTGAGTTTAACAAAAAGCTCCAGACATCCGTCGAGTGCGTTCTTCGACATTAGAAATCCCAGAAATCTGATTTCTCGATTCTATCAAAGTTTGCAAACGAAGCTTCTCTTCGAAGAGCTTCATCCTGCATAGAGTCAATCCTAAGAAATGATTTAACGTAAGTCGAACTAAATTGAACTGTTGAATGTAAAAAGACCTCGGAATATGTAAGCTCTTTTTGTGCAAAACGCGTAAATAAAGTAAGAGCTTTAACTAACGTGCTCCTTAAATTTTATTTTCCTATATCTAAAATCGCCGACGCCACGGTAAATTTTGAGAATTGATATTGCCTTCAGAACGGAAATAGTCAATTTTTAAATAGAGATAGTTTTATTTTTTAACGATGTAATAAGATAACGAAGAATTGAAAATGGATAACTTGCAGAATAGTTATCTTCTTCTGCTATCAGATACGAGAAATATGTGCATCATTGTTGCGATTGTTTATAGAAAGCAAAATATTTATTGCGTTACGTATGGTGACATTTAAAATATGAAACTTACACCGTGCAAAGTTTAAAATAAGTTCACTACAGGCTCTAAAAGCTTACGGTTGACATTGAAGTTCTGTTTGTATTCAACAGTAGAATTGTCAATGACTGACCTATCTCGATCATGAGGATTCGCGAACCTTTCCGATCGTCGAATACAACATGATCGATTAGTCGAATGGTACATACAACGATGGAATGGATCGGTGAAAGGCCAGTCAGCCAACCAGATCAACTGCAATTGCACAGTATATTGCACTATGATCACCCACGGTTTGACAAAGTGAACACACATAAATCTCTTGCCATTCGGTAGGTGATAGTGGACCATGTACCGACAATATAGCTATTTATTTTTGACAAAATTGGTTTTTCATAGGGGCAAAATTTAATGATAATCTAAGTTTCAAGTGTTTGATTTATAGGACTGTAATTAACCCGAATTCCAAAGTACAGTTCAGTGGTTCGGTTTCGTGGCACGAAATTCTTTCGTATCTTCCTCGCAATCTATATTTTCATTTTCTAATTGAAGTCGGTTTTCGTTAAATAGTTATCGAAGAAGTCTGCGTTCGAAGTTGGTCGCTTAGAAAATATTGGAAGCTCTACTTTACGTTGCTGGAAATTTTAAGCCTTGAAACTCTTTCGTATTTCCCATAGAATCTATATTTTCAATTTTCTAAGTGAAGTCGGTTTTTAATAAAATATTTATCGAGGAAGTTTGCGTTCAAAATTAATCCGTTAGAGAATGTTGCGAGTTTTACTTTACGTTATTACGAATTTAAAGAAACATGTTTGCTATTTTTTGCAGGAATCTTCGTGTTTACCATACTCGCGTTAATGGCTGAGTTTTTGCGTTACTGTACGACGATTGTAAAATAGGAATGGTACCAATTACAAGTGATATTAAAATTCTTAATATAAAGCTGTAATATAAATATAATATAAAGCCGCAATAATGTAAAATCAGTATATATAATATATAATACAATTAATGTCCAGTTCAATAAACTGCTACGCGGAGAAAAAGGAACAAAAGCGACTGTTCCATAAAGCCGACTGAATTATGATGATAACAGCCAGCGTGGAATAGTCGATTATCAAATGTCATTGCATAATCAGAACAAACCCACTAATCCGTTCGCTTGGTTGCACCGTTGCACCAGCTACTCGTGGAAATCGGACCATTTTGCGTGCACATACCCGTCTCTTTCGTTCACGGGGCAAACAGAACGTACAGTGCAATGGTAGCTGAGCACGAATGCGATTACCGTAACACCTACGTAACCTGGTGAAATTGTGAAATTACTTTTTCTTATCCATTTGCGGATTCCAAATAATAAAAATAGAATCGAAGGTCGGCGTTCCTTTATTTTAAGAGATAGTGAGAACGATGATAATTAAACAACCGCTAATTATAATCTTATCGATTGCTAATGAATTCGTACTGACGTGAATTAATTTTCATTTGTTTCCTTCCCCTTTCCTCTCGTTGTCACATATTTCTTCGATGGACACAAGCTCAAACGGAAATGGTGATTCACGAGACTTTCATGAATGAAACAATGATTATAAAATCGAGCGGAATACGGTAAGCAAAACAAAACGTTAATTCCTTTAAAGATATGTAGAAACGAAGATTCCCATGGACATTCTCGAAGTTGCTTCCTGATAAATCTCTTTATTGCGCGTTACAATTCAACGTTAGTCATATTAATCGATCTCGTGTCCACTTTAATTTCGAAATAAATTTGCTAATATTATCGACTATATCCCTTTATCCTATAGCAGTAAGATGGAAACCAGTATCTCCGCCTCTTTGTCTCGTCGATGGGTTGCTATGTGTCTCGAGTAATACTCGAGGCTTCTATCTCCCCTGTTTGAACTGTGACTCAACCACTCAGCCAGAGAATTCCAGGCAATGGCAACAAGAACGTACTTGCTCTTTCAAAGTCTGCTTTTTCTGCATGGTTTAGGCGCACAGTAAGGTCGAGCGATTTTTCGACGCTGTGTTCTCGCTACGTCATACATTTGTCTTCGTTGTTTTTAATTGGGAAAACAGAAGGAGACATACGACGCAGTGTCAAAAAGTCGCTCGTCACCACCGAACTTTAATTGCCTCGGGGAAAACACGACTTCCGAGAGATCGATCTCTTCTACAATTTTTTCATCGCGAATCACAAACTTGAATACTTAGACTGATACTTAAACTCGTGCCGAGAGCACTAGATTATCACTTCCTTCGCTAATGGAAAGTTTATAGAATATAGGCGATGGAGAGAACTGATCATCATAACCGGATTTCAAACGCAGTGAAATTTGCATCATGTACTAAATATTATACTGAGTACTCTATTTTAAATACTTTATGTATACATATATCTTTTTAGTTAGTAAAAATACAGTGTCTAACTTTTCCCTGATTATTGCTTCATTGCAAGAAACGATAAGAGATCAAGGTTTATCTAATTTTTGTAGAACGATGAATCCAAATACCAACCTTTTGCCGATCAGCACTGACCGTCTACACACTGACCTTGACTTACTTAGAAATCTAATAGATAAAAGTGAATTCTTCAGTTAAGTCAAGATATATACCAAGTTAGTCATCATCACTGCAGATACAGTGAAGTTCATCCCACCGTACCAACTACGCTATTTTTATCAAACGTACATATATACAAATCTAAAACTTGGGATCATTTCACGAACATATCTATGTATGTATAAGCGATAATAGCAGATTATTTCGATTCTTGAGATTATAATATCGGTTGTAATAATAATAATAATATCTACCATAATACGTTACCTATACATGTTCAATTATAATTGAGAACTCCATCGAAGTTAATTCTTTAGTCTGTAAAGAATGAAACAAGAGTCATGTAATTGTGATACTAAAGCAACGATACTTTCAGAAAATGGACTTAATCAATTTAGCTTCTGATATTGCGTGACGTAATTGATATATAGCGTCAATTCATTGTTGTTGCCCGCTACATACATAACGATAAGAAACATAAGATCGGGCGTAAAAATCTACTCGAAGCGCACGTTCGATTAGAACAGAAAAGAACGCGTGATATATCAGGGTAAATATATCCGCAGAAACAGAAAGGCCTACATAAATGGCATATGATCGTTTCTATCGACCTTGATTGTTCTACGCCCAGAGAGTCACGTACGACAAGCCGGGTTTTTCTTGTTATTCCATTTTATACAAGATGTTGGTACGCTACGACTAGTAGCATTCTTCGTATCGTTTTGCTCGGGCGATCGCAACAACACGGAGAAACCGATCCAAAACCGGCGACTGGCGATCGGTCATATGTACGTGTAATAGTTCCTAGCCTTGAGCAAACGATGTCGAAATCCTCTCGTGGAATAAGCCGGCTGCTGAACACGCAACCGCGCTTCAATCATGTCCGGTCGCCGCGGAAACTGGAGGCATTACTCCACAAAAATGATAGATTATAGTTAGCCAGAGATACTGGAGGATTACGGAGAAAGGCAGTATCTGTCTATGTTAGAAGCATATTCGTTGAAGCATATTATACGGATAAAGTAGCGTACAATAAGGAAAAACAGTTATGAAAATAATGAGATATATCTGATCGTTAGACTACGGATTTTTATGCATCCGTGGGAATTTAAAGATGAAAAAATAAATAGAATGCACGCTCGGTACAAAAATAAGTAACTAACCAAAGTACAATATTTTTTATATTATTAATAGGTGAAACAAATTTGCGAGTAGATTCACTGACTAGAGTACAAATTTACGACTAGACTACAAAACAAATAAGTTTGTATAAATATCCATAGTCTGGTACATAATTATGCTTCTATTTCAATAAAACTCAACATCATAGTTGTGCCAAGAAAGATCTTAAACCTTTGTCGACCAACAGGCTTGGCTAGTAGTAATGTCAAATAATCGATTTGAGGCAGCTCGATGATAATTTTTAGAGAATACTGAGCAATTAAGTGTATTGTAAGAATGGTGAATCAATTAAGAGGATGTAAATGGGATGTTTATGGATGCTAAGAGGATTATTATAATTTAATCGTATTTTTTAAATGTCGATAAGACTGATTAAGATATAATTAAATATCCTATAATCTTCTTAGAAGGTAAATCTATTTTATAGTTAAGATATCTTGTATTTTATTCTCATCTGTTTATCTTTCAACATTGCACTGCATTTTGGTGGATCGATGGTCTGAGTCGAGATTCAATTCAAGTAGCTTTATTTTTGGTATTTTAAGAGGTCTTGGATACTTGAGTTAAGATTTCCTTTCTGTAGATTTGTTTCTGCGATTTTACTCGGCCATGCTCGGTTAATGGAACTTTCTATTGCAATAGATTTATTACGAAAGTATGATATTATTCGTCCTTGAATTAACAGGTATGATATTATTAGTATCAGTAGAAGGCGATGTTGCAGAAAAAGAAAAGAGATCGGTGCATATGCAGAAGTTCTGAGGCATTTGAAAATCTGTAAATATGTCAAAGACTAATTTTAATAATTCGAGCAAAAAATTGTCTATCTCTTCCAAATACTACGTTAATTCTTTATCAAGAAAAACAGATCAAAATAATGCAATCGAATTATTTCAATTTGAATTACATTTTACATTAAATTACAATTTAAAAACTGTTTCGTAAATGAAACTATGACCAATAATTTAAAAGTTTATGATTCTCATTTGAATGAAA